ATGGCCTCTCCATTTGACTTTAAATAGCCATCGTGCTGTTAAGCCTCAGTCTATAACAAAAGGCAGCAGATTTGGGGTTATTCTAGATCTCTTTTTTTTCATTAGATATAAGATTCAGTATTATGCAAAATTAGGAACGTTGTATAAACTTAGGCTTAGGAAGTACATCTTTTTCAAGTGTTTAAAACATTACGAAGAATAATTATTTTGAGAAGACTCTTCAGAGTCGAATATGCTTAAAAATATTTTAAAAAATGACTACTAATATAGCTCCCTTCCAGTGTCATCAAAATCACTTGCATACACTGGTTTTTTCAAAGGCAGCCAGTACAGAATCAGTATGAAGACTGTGGCGTAGGAGACACACTAGAGACCTGAGAATCAAGATATTTACCCTCCCTCTCCACTTCATCCATTTTGGATGGGTATGATGATGCTTACCTTGCCCAGCTGATGTGGAGATTTAATTAGCTAAGGTATATAAAGGGTCTGGCAGATGACCCAGCTCAGTGTCAGTGGTAATAAATGGAGGTAGCCAGCACAGCGTCAGGTTGAAGAAGATCAATGGATTCTGGCATTAGATAGTTTAGGTGTGGATCTTGACTCTGATATTTGTAGTAGCTCTGTGACCTTGCATAAATTAATCTGATGTCTCTAAGTTTCAGCTTCCTTATCTATAACATGGGTTGTAGTAAAGACCAAACGTGATAACATAAGCAATATGCTCAGCACGGTGCCCAGCACAAAGTAAGTGCTCGATGAATTAGCGTTTTTATTAGTATGTGTCTGGGACAAAGAAGCTGACAAGCAGAAAAAGAGAACATTTAACACTTTCTGAAGTTGAAGAGACTATTTCTTGGTCACAGAGCAGCAAAAATAATTAACAGGTTTCTTTACTAAAAGGTTAAAATTGTCTCCTTACATGGAATGCTGTCTGATATCAGCATTAATTAAAATGAGTCTCCCAGACTTTGAAAATATCAGAAATAGCCCTTTCAGAAAAAAAAAGGAACACAAATAAATATAATAACTTTTTGAAAGTTTGTTAACTCAGCAAAGTTATGGATTAAACTAGTAAGTATCTTCTCGAGCTCCCTTTCTTCATCTGCAGTTCTGGAAGAATTGAATATGATTCCAAATAGTTGAGATACATGGTAAAAATAAAGCTTCCTAGATGGCTTACTATAAGTCAAGAACGTGTTACACAAAATTGCATGAGCAGCCAGAAGCAGAATCTTGACTGTTTTTACCAATAAAGAAGCAAAACTCTTTAGTAATGCCTAACACGCCTTCTGCAATTCAGCTCCAGTCCTCTAAGATGGTGATCAATTCAGCATCTAATCTATTCAGATGAGGCTGCAGGAGAGGGGATGAACTGTGAAGCCAGCAGTAAGGGAATTCTGAGGGGTTATATAATAGGAGGGGTGAAGAATCACTGACCATAATATGATGAGGCAAACAAAAGCTGAGTAGAGAAAGAAACACTATACTTAAGGTACTAAATGCAATTAGGAGTATGGTAGGCTCTTGCCTATTTGCATCTCTCCGTCCAGGACTGAGAGTCATAGCGACATTTGAAAATCCCGTTAATAAGAGGTCATTGCATGACCTGTGTGTCTCTTCCCAATACTTGCTCCTTGGCCTCCTTTTACTGTTACTGGAGACCTTGGTGTTATTCTTGGCCTCCACCAAGGGCGGGGTGGATGATTGTGAGGAGGGCTCTGAGTAAGATTGGGAATCACCCTGGAGGAGCCGGGTGGGGAGACAAGGTGAAATTCCAGACCCTCAGTATTAATAACTTATCTTCTACACCATTAACAATTTTTATACTAACATCTACCATTTTAAGAAGAGTGCCATATTTTAAACTGCCATTATTACTGGATAAATTATAAAACTACATTATTACTCAAGTTTTTCATTCCAGCACTTGGAGAAAAAGCAGTGGAAAATGTAATTTATTCAATAGTATAACATCATTTGCCAACAGCCACATACAACTATGTAACAATGTGTAAGTATAAATTATTTTAAATTATAACTTGTTTTGTAATTTATGTAAGCCAAATTATCTGCTCTATGTCTTCCATAAGTAAGACTACAGCTAGAAAGTTAGAGCAGAAATTACACCAAGTATTTCATTGCTCTGGTTCTTCTCCTTTTCTCAAGACACTAGCAAAGTGGTTAAGAATACAGATTTTAATGTAAGATTGAACTGGATTGAGCCCCAGCTCTGCTATTTATTAACTTTTTAGTTGGCTGTCCTCAGTCAACTTATATAACTTCTTCCACCCTCAGTTTTTCTGTAGGTAAAAGAAGGATAATCATGACTATCCTACAGAGTTGTCGTAAAGATAAATTTGATACTGTATGTAGGGTTTGCTACTGTGGTTTCAGTTAAAAAAATACTCAAAACATGGTAGTTGTTATTCTTCTGGAATTCACATTGACCCTCATGAAATAGCTACTGTACAAGCAGTAGAACTCTGGTCCATGCAATTTAGACATATAAAAGGTCTTTTATCAGTTATTTCCTTTTATAAATAAAAGAACCAGAGTCTTGAAGCAAGAAGCTCGGGTACCATTCAACATTACTGGTATTGGCTGCTGGAGAGAAAGCCAGGAAGTGAAGTGTTTGATTGCTTGTCTAATTTAAACCTTTCTAAATTCCATTAAATGGCCAAATAGGAGGGGATGGGGGTCATTTTAAAATGAGCAGGTAAATATGCTTAGAATCGAGTTCTGAGTAGCTTTGGATATAGGAGATTTCAGAGCAGCAGCACATCTTGTATAAATAAATGCATAGTCAAGGGATCAATCAAAATGCTCAACTTCTTTTGTTTTAGGGCAGTGTCCTTGGAAATGAAGGCACTGAGAATTCTTAGGAATAGGATCCCTTAAAACACAGACCTGCCATAAATGAGAGAAAAGTATTTTTCTAAGGTATTAATAGACATACTGCTCCATCAGTGACATGTGGAAGGGTCATTCTTTTAAGTAGACAGAACAATGTTCAATAAGGCAAATGAAGTTCATGATAGACTGTCCAAATTCCTGATATCAAAGAGCTCAAACACTGTGTTAAAATTCCACCAGAATTACAATTTATTTCCATGAGGTTATATGGCATGGCATGTGTCTAAAATCATAAGTGCATTTCTTTGCCTTAAGGAATCCTTCCTAGATGAGCAACAGCACCCTTTAAAATACAGTTATGGAGTATTCATATGGACTTCAGTAACTTGGAAAAAGTTCAAAAGAATAATACAATGCAATTTGAGGATAATGTGATTATTATTTTTCCTTTAAAAAAAATCTCCTCCTTGTCTCACAATAGAATAATTCCTCTTGTCTCCTCCTCCACTACTCAGTAAATAAATCAGAACTCTATCTCGGATTAAAAGAGGTTAAATAGAAGGAAGGAAAGATAAGAAATGACTAAACTGAAGTGGGTGGGTTTACCAAAGTGAAATGTGGCTGAGTAGAAGAGAATTAGCAAAGGGAAAGACAATACTGGAATAACTCCAAATCTCGAATTTTTAAATTCAAACTCTAGTTACCTTTTAAAATCTTTAAATTTTGAGGCTGCTTTCAAGAGACTAAACCAACCAAGGGTTGAACTTGGTTTATGTGTCAATACAATTGCTCCTCTAAACTTTCAGTAAGTCTGGTAGAGTGTTCCAGATTAACTAAATTTAAACTATTTAAATTTTGCTCACTGGAATCACACATATTTCAGCATAATTTATAGGTTTTTTATATTGCAGTTCCCAAATTGTATATAAGGTGCCTTGAAGCACTGCAGTACACTCACCAGGGTGCTTTGAAATATCTTAAATTTTCAAGGGAAACACAGTGATACTTGCATCTGTCAGGTACCTTTGAACTACTAGCTAGAGGTATTTCACCATTTTAAGATTACATTTGGCTTTGTTCCTTTAGATGACATCATATCTTTGCAAAGCTGGGCAGCGTGAAATCAGTACAGAACGGGAAACGAGGGTGGTGATGTCCAATCTGATTCCAAGGCTTGGGAAGTTCCCATTAGTAAGTTATTAACTAAGAATGATACAAATATATATATATACACACAAATATACATACATACTTATTTTTTTTATGATTCATATGTATTATTTTTTTAACTGGCCACTAAGTTTGTAGGACATAAATAGTTAAGATATTTGGACCTAACTACTTTATAAACAGAACTGTCAGGTATTTTTTTTTCTTTTGGTCTAGGGGCACTGGGGAAAAAATTACCGAGACACTAGGGTACCAAGATTGAGAAAGTTTGGAAGCTTCTGTTCTAATATTTACATGGATGTATAAATAGATGTCAATGCCAGAAATAAATGATGCTTTGTGCAGTTGAGTTTCCACATGTAGAATAGCTAATGCTGGGAAAGATATGGTTCTGGGAGATTGTATTTAAATATGTGATTCAGAGCTAAAGCTAACCCTCAGGAAGCAATCCAGATATCCACTGATTTAAAAAAAGAGCCCCTAAATATAGATAAGCTTCAGAGGGAAGGAGTGAGGTACAGAATATTTTTTTCCTAGTCTCTATTTAGATTCTACCTATTATAATATGAGGATTCCTTGGGCCAAATATACTTTTCTTACCAATTCTTAATATTATTTTTAGACACCAACTAGTTTATTTATATAAAAACAAAGGGATATATTTTTTCTTTTTAAGGTCCTTTAGTTCCATAAAAAGTAAGCTCTTGTATCACTTTTATTTTCACAAATAATACAGTGATTTGTAGCACATCAGAGAGTCAGCTACTAGATGTTGTCAAAGTATTTTAGCCTTATATTTTATTGATCAACATTTATAGATTTCATTGTTCCATAACTTCTCTCTCATGGCTTATCCTGACTCTGTATCATTCTTCTTTAGATAATTTCTTGGTACAAGAACAGCTGAATTGCCAATTTAAACTTATACTTTAACCAAAAGAGTCGTAACTACTAAGAGGCTGTTGCCGCATTACCATGCTTGTTGATCGGACGTAGACGTTGTTTTTCAGGTGGCAGTTGCCGTCATTTGGCACCACTATGCCTGCCAATTTGCTATCAAGAGCAAGATGAGATGTCTGATCTGTCATCACCAGCAGCAATCTTTTAGCTTCTTTTCGCCATCCAATATGACTCTTAAAATAAACATGTAATTAGACCTTGTACAATAGCATAGATCTGTACTGTGGTCTTCATCTCAAGTAAACATTAAGTTCAAGTTAACAAACATTAAGTCAGGCTAGAATGATGTGCATAAATACAGTGCTGTCTCATAAATAGCATTAACTTTTATTTGTATATCCTTTATTTTACCATAGTCATTTGACCACACAAGCTCCTGGCTAGAGACTTCTAATGTTCCCCTAGAGGAAGAACAAGCCAGGTTTATGAAGTGCAGAGCGCGCAACATGATGTGAGTAGGATAACAGGCTATTTCTGGTTCTTCCTTGGAGAGTGGTGAGTGAAAAGAGCCGCCCTTTTGGAAAGGATTTTCCAAGTGCATAAGTTATTTTTTCCCTTTTATCTTTTCCTATTTATAACCCTTTCTCAATTTAGCCCCTCTGTCTTGAACACATACCAAAATGAATAACATTGGTGACAGATAAGAGATAGGAGAAGAATGTATTCTTCTATCTATATTTTCACTCCATAAATCAAAGAGAAAAGAAAAATCCTAAATTCTTGGAGGATTTGCATCTGAGCAAACACTCAATAATGTGCAACTTCTTACCTCACAGACAGCTGCCTGAAGCATGGCATCAAAACCTCCTTCAGGTGTATCTATATTTCCAGAGATCTTCTGTCTGTGTACTGCTTTTTCAAACTCAGTGATGTTCTCCGTCAAAGACAGCACATGGATGTATCCATGGGGAGGCATACAGTCTAAATTGTAGTCACTAGATGGGAAAAGAAGAAATGCAAATTCTATTTTGCTATGCTTCCAAAGATCCAAAATATTATTCACAGTAAAATTGTGTGGTTGGTGTGAGAAGGGAATACATTTTTTTTTTTTTTTGGCCAAGGAAATTTTATTAGAGAAAATCTGTACTTTATAAAATCAGAGGAAATTTCAGTATTGGTGAATATTTCTTTGCAAGTAGGAAATAGGAATATAGTGGTTTGGTGTTCAAAAAATATAGAAGATTAAACATGTTTCTTTAATATAAGACACCTAAGGGCTTTTATTATGCTAATATGCACTATTAATTTTTAAGAGGAGATAACAATTTGCAGTGATTTCCTATCACATTTGACCACAGGACAGCTGAGAAACACTTTTTGGGAAATGCTTTTAGAAATTTAGTTAAAGTATTATACTATTGTTAGATATTTTAAAACGTGCTAATTTTTTAAGTGATGCTTGGTATGGAATCATTGATGGACAATCAGAATTCATTAAAATTGTTTTAAGAATTCCTTGATGTCCCCAAAAGTGAGACTTATTCCTCAAGTGCATTTACATTCAGGGAGAAGGTGCCTGAAGCTCCACGAGGAGATGTGTCAGTCCTGTTCCACTACAACAGAGAGCAGAGTTGTTTTGGTAGATGAGAGTGTGTACTATAAAGTGATCTGGGCAATTTATGGAAGTGGGAATGAAGATGTTAAAATGAAATATTTTATTAAGGAAGAATTGAACATTTATTTTTCTCTGAAAATTCAACAGGCTAATTAGAATATTGTGTGAGAAACTTGTGTCTTGAAGGTCAGTTCTCCTTTCATAGTGGGGCATACGCTATGTAGAATCAGACTTCCAAAATGATAAGAAAAAAGGCTCTTTCTAGCAGGCGTATTCTCGTCTTCTGCCCTACCCTCCCTGTGCTACCTGAGCTTTCTTTGAAGTCACATCATAAGCAACATAATTAACACAGTAACACAACACAGTAACGGAAGATCAGCTGCAGTACTGGCAGCATAAGTACTTTAAATTTGATAAACTTTAATTCAACAAATTTGGAGCAATCACAAAGAGGAATACAGAATTTTCAAAAAGGTATTTATACACATGGTAGCCCGATTATTGAAGGTTTATTCAAAATTATTAATATTATTTGTGTTTTTTTTGTGATAAAAACTAAGTGAATGGTATTTGAAAAAATATTAAAAAAATCCCAGCTACAGGTAATCTCAGAAGTTTTCAGACAGGAACATACCTCCTCTCCAAATATTTTCATTTCTCATTTAATAAAACAAAAATATAAAATTTAGTAAGTCCTTTATATCAAAACAAAATGAGATTTTATAAGAAAAAAAATTCATTTAGTATTCTGAAAACCACATCAAACACTAGATACCTGCATTGATTATGAATCCTTTCCGGGTGGATGCTAATGTACGGTGAAACTGTTTTATCAACATATGAGCCAAATCCAAGGCGAAAGTCACGGGAGAAAAATGCCATTTTTCTAGATAAATCATTTCCAACGGAATTTAATTTTTCAATATTATTGTGCATTGATGCTGAGACATCGACCAGATAATAAAGATCCACAGGATATTTCTTCAGAGGATGAATTTTCAGCATAAAATTAGCTTCAGCTCCTAGTTCAAAGAAAGACAAATATGATGTAGCCTTCATTTTAAATATCTCAGGATAAGCTGTCAATAAGTCAGTCACATTTTAGATATAGAACAATTATCACAAATTTGTGCATAATGAATGAAGTTAGGAATATTCTGGAATAATTTTAAGGCAATTTGAAAACCATACCAATTTATTAGTCTGAAACTTCTACAATGCATTTCTCACATTTCTAAAGGGCAGATAGAGATAATAACAAATGAATCAGCTGAATGTAAATGTAATGGAGAATATATTTGTCACCATATGAACCTGTATTTCTAGTATCTTGAAAAATACAGCACAAAACAGCAAGTAGCATTCTACCTCAAGACAGAGTAGGTGGCTGTGTTTACTTTTTTTTTTTTTTTTTTTTTTTAAAAATTTTTTTTTTTCAGTTTTTTCCCCCCAAAGCCCCAGTAGATAGCCGTATGTCATAGGTTCACATCCTTCTAGTTGCTGTACGTGGGACTCGGCCTCACGTTGGATGGAGAAGTGGTGCCTCGGGGCGCTCCCGGGATCCGAACCCAGGCCGCCAGCATCAGAGTGCGCACACTTAACCGCTAAGCCACGGAGCCGGCCCTGGCTGTGTTTACTTGAAGGTGGCTTTCAGGTTTGAAGAAAACCAGAAAGGTATCTTAAAAAATTACCCCTCATTGGATGCCAATATAAATTTATTCTTTTGGGTTAAGGCATATTTACATATGAGATGTGAAAACTCTGGTACTGAGAAGTACATTAAGCTACTCAAAATAATTAGCACCTCATCATAAATTATTTGATAAGCTTCTTCCAAACAGTTAGTTGTAAGAAAGAATGAGACAGTGGTCTAAAGAATGGTACCTAGCAGTGCCACATTGTGGACCTGGGCAATGTGTCCAACATAGTGGGTGCCTGACAAACATATATTGAAGAGGGATCACAGAGGCAAAGGAACTGGATGAGAAGAGAGGGTCACCACAAGGAGGACTGTGGGAGGCTTCCAAGGACAACTGTCTGCAAGACAGTTTTATTTAGTTCACTGTCCATTCTCATTTGATACAAGGATCTGTATCCCTGTATATGAGGATATGGCACCCTTCAGAGATGGTAGTTCTGTATTTAATTTTTTAAAGTATATGGCGAAAAGTCATCAATTTAAATACAGGCAATTCATGAATTTTACTTTTTTAAACAATAAAGCAAATGCTTTGTAAGTCATTAATTATTTGTCTACAGAGAATATTTTGAGTGGAAACACATTTTTTTAATAAACACCAATTTCTATATATAATTGGTAGCCTGATCTACGTATTTAAGGAATCCTCTAATTTATCAAATTATATTTTCAGTCTTTTTTTTTTTTGAGGATGATTAGCCCTGCACTAACATCTGTTGCCCATCTTTCTCTTTTTTTTTTCTTTTTTCTCCCCAAAGCCCCAGTACATAGGTGTATATCATAGTTGTAGAAATGTAGCTCTTCTATGGGGGAGGCCGCCTCAGCATGGCTTGATGAACGGTAAGTAGGTCTGCACCTAGGATCCGAACCAGCGAACCCTGGGCCACTGAAGTGGTACGCGTGAGCTTAACCACTACACCACCGGGCCAGCACCATACATATATTTTCAGTCTTAATGTGCTTAAAATTAGCAATGTTTTATTTTAAATTAGTTCACAGGTCAGATGTTTTTCAGCCAAATTAGTAAATGTATTAAAAATAGTATGGTTTTTCTGGTATATTATAATAATAATTATGGTAGAAGGAGGCTATTTACTCATTCCTAATTTGCCTTTATGTGCATATCCCTTTACTGTAACACTCCTACTTTTTTGGCCCAAGAGTTTGGGAGGAGAAATTGAGCATGAGTAGCCCACCCAGCCAACTCTCTCACTCCTTCCCTTGAGGAGCTGGGCTGTCTCCAGAGAGCATATATTCAGCTCTGCTTTTCCAGTATCTGGTGAAAAAACCTGCTCGTGTGGAAGTGTCCTGCAAGTGGGGTAAAGAAGCGCAATTCAAGAGAATGATAGAATCTGGTAGACAGGGCTGTGTCAATGAGAAATAGAAATGCAGCATAGTTGGGGAGTGTGTTTATGTGGAGGAACTTGAACTTTAATGTGTGGTTCAGCATTTAAAAAAACTTTTTTACAAATTGTGTAGTTGTTTTTTAACTGTTGACTTAGGCATATGGCTGAAGGCCTTAGGCACTGGCTACCTTGTATTTTCATCTAGATGGATCATTGTAGTTTATGGTGGCTCTGTCTAAAGATGAACAGCTGTCTGTTTTTACAGAGTAAGTGCAAAATGCACCAGATATTCAGTGTGTTATCAGGTTGTTATATTGTTGGTTGGTTACTTCAGCCAACAGGCAGAGTCTGTGTAGCGTCAACAAAAGCACAGTCCTTGGAGGCCTAAGCTATTCAGGGAAGTCCAACCAAATGCTAACCACACCGGGGCTTTCAGCACACACCTGCTGCTCATGACCCAGCAAGCAAATCCTTGTCTCACCGGCCTCAGCAAAGAAGAGGGCTGTAAGGAAGCTTTGCCAAATGATCATAGTTGGAGGGTATAGGCTGCTGTAGCTTGATTTTGGATTATATAGATGCTGCATTAGCATATGTACCTGGGTCAGTTGAAGACCTCAGTGTGGGCTGATGCCTCAGTAAGACAAGTTTTCAATAAAGGAGAAAAGAATCTTTCCACACACAGGTCTTTTAGTCACTGCCGGAGAGAACGATAATCACTACTTTTAAACTGCAAGGCACTTGAGTTTCCTGTAAGGTTCTAGCTTTAAGTAGTTAGCTCCAGGTAGGCAGCCCTAGATAGGCTAACCCCGAACCCCACTCTGCTTGTTAAGAAGGAAACTCAAGGGACCAAGCTTAGGTTACCATGTTTTGCCCATGAGCTTGAGACAATCCCTACAATATGCTCTCAAATTGGCTTTGAATTGGATAATTATATATGAGGGAGAAACCTCCTTTTGGAGGTAGCAGAAATACCTTTTCATGGGAACATGGATACTGTGTCCCTAGATAAAATCCCCATTCAGTTCATACTGGGGTGCCATCAACACAGGGCTCAAAGGGCAGATGACATTAAAGAGGCTTTGAATATATTGGATGAGAAAGAAATATCTAAAAATAAGACAATATTTGTGGCTATCACCATTGTGAGCTTATCAATGCAAGCAGCTATGTCTTAAATGCTACTCTGAGAGAGGAGCTATGCAGAGGTGGATTCTTTTAATGGCTAAGAACTACTAAGTGAGGTAATCTATGTAAAATATTTACCATGGTACTTGGTACACAGTAAATATGTAGATGTTAGTAATTATTACCATTACTCTTACTAGATTCTAAGCAATATTAGGGTAAGAGCTGTTTATTCATCTCTGAAGCCTCTGAGTTTGGTACATGCATAGCCACTCAAAAATATTCTTTAAAGTATATTTGAAGCATATTTTGATACAGCATTTCAAAAGGCCCACATATTTATCACAGTAAGAAGCTAATATCTATGCCTTCTTTCCCACAATTTAGGGAGAACTTAAATAGTTTCTCTCTTTAGTAGGAAAAGAGTATCATCTGGCCCCAAAATGTTTGTCACCACTTATATTATCTCCAGGAAAGCTTTATCCCCATACCTTTTGAGATTCCTAAGGCTCAGATCCTTATTCCCTTCAATTAACTTCAAAGGGAAGAAGTGAGTCTGTGACATAGAATAAGAAAGAGGACTTGGAGGCAAGTTGAGACCTACTTAGAGCTATTGCCAGTATTGGTTTGAATAGCCCAAAGAATTAAAAGCTGTTAGAATGAGTTTTAAATCACTAAAATAATGGTGTGAGCATCTCTGAAGAACTGGCTGCAATGAACATGACCGGATATTAAGAAAAGATAACTAGGGCCGGCCCCGTGGCTTAGCGGTTAAGTGCGCGCGCTCCGCTGCTGGCAGCCCGGGTTCAGATCCCGGGCGCGCACAGACGCACAGCTTCTCCGGCCATGCTGAGGCCGCGTCCCACGTACAGCAACTAGAAGGATGTGCATCTATGACATACAACTATCTACTGGGGCTTTGGGGGGAAAAATAAATAAATAAAATTAAAAAAAAAAAAAGAAAAGATAACTAAAAAGGGTTCTGAATAAGATGAAACTGAAAAACCATAAGAAAATGTGCAAAACCGTAGCAGGAACAAAGAGCAGCCAATTTCTGTTCGTTTGACTTGGGCAAGGGAAGGAGAAAGCGCAAGAATGAAACTGGTTTGAAACAGCAAGGTACAGACTAAATCCAGCACATTGCTGAATTTCTGTGGGGGATAAAATGGAGGATATGTGCCAGGGGGGTGAGGGGAAAGAAAAATGCATGATTTCTACATGTTTATGTTTTTTGAAAAAAATTTTGAATGTAGGAAGAATAGCTGAAAAATCTTACATTTTAAATTAAGCTACATTAAAGTCCTTTTTTCTTTACGGTGTTAAAATGAATCAAGTTCAAAAAATTTTCTTGAATTTTGAAGTATAGATTATACATTGCATTACTTCTGAAGCAGAATTAGAGAATTCCCTTCTTTCTCCTACCTTCCTAAAGATTTCATTTCAATGTTCTTAGGGAACATGAACAAGGATCAGTAGCCTATTTCTGTTATTATTTTTCCTTAAAATTGATAGGTAAAAATAAGAAAAAAGGAATAGTTTAAGAACTGAAAAGTAAAAGAAAATGTCATTTTTTAAATCTCATTTTAAAGATTCGATTATATGTATTTTATATAGTCCTACCAACATTCTTTTAAAAATTTAGTTGGTATATGATATAATAGAAATATCCATGAAAAATTTAAAAAAATTTTAATAGATGCTACATTGAAGGTAATAAATTTTTATCAGATAAGAATAAAGTGATTAGCTATAAATAAATCAAATAAATAAAATTCAATATTAGGGGATAAATGCATTTTACACTTAGAAATGCATTATATTAAATCCTTTACTCTAATATGTGTCATGGTGGTAAGGACTTTTACATCATGAGGAGTGATGTTTCTATATATCTGGAGTTGGTAAAAATATAGCTCTATATATTAACCCCAAAGCTGGCATAGGAAAGCTTAGGAAAAATGTTCAAGATTTCTAGTACTAGGAAAGAGGCAAAAGAGAACAGCTAATGGACTAGTTATACTTAAACTGAAGAGATTAAAAACAATGAGAACAGGCAAAGTTGACTCTTTTTTGTGAACAATCTGACAATATATATTAAAAACAGAAATAAATTTACATATACTTGACCTAATAAATCTATTTCTAGGAATGTATCCCAAATAAATATGCTGTTATATACATGCATAATGAGTATCACTGAAGATTTGTTTAAAAAAATTGCATTCAAATTTGATTGGGATTGTCTTACATTTATCGATTCATTTGGATTTTGTTACTTTTATAGAATATGTTTATAGAAAACTGTTATTGTTATATTATCTTCCTATTCAGGAACATAAAATTCTTCTGCATTTATTCTTATCTTCTTTTAGGTATCACAATAGATCCTACACCTTTTTTAAAAAGTTTATCCCTAGACAGGTTACATTTTAGGTTGCTGCTTTGAATTGATCCCTTTTTTCATTATATTTAATAATATATAGGAAATTTAAAAAAACAACCTGCCAATTTTTTTATTTTTAATTTTAATAGTTTTAGTTGATTTGTTTGGATTTTCAAGGTAGACATATAATGATAATTTTGCTTTATCTTTTCAGAATGTTTATAATCATATTCAGTTTTCTCGTCTAATTGCTTTTATGTAAAACTTCCAGAAGGATTTTAACATATATTAAGGAAATGTACTTCAATTTTGGTTTTGGCAGGAATGGACACTAAATTTCATTGTATGATTTTTCAGGATCTATTGAGATAATCATATCTTTTTTCTCCTTTTGGCAAACTGAGATAATAAAAATACATTAATTTCAAAATAATCAAGTACTCTGGGTTTTCTAGGTTAAATCTACTTGTATGGTGGTATTGTTCTTATTATCACATGCAGTTTAATTTAATTTCCTAAAATGCTATTAAGGATTTGATACTAGGGTTATGCTAACCTTGTAAAAATTGAGTAGCTTCTAGGCCTTCTCTAAAACTATGGAAGAGTTTATGTAGTACTGGGATAATGTGTTCCTTGAATGTTTGGGCAAACATGAAATCATTTCTTCTCATGAAAACATTTAGACCTAATGTCTTTAGGGGGTGTTTCTTTTATAATTTTCTTAATTTATATCTTTATTAGGCTTCTTAGGGTTCTACCTCTTCTTGAATCAATTTTAGTCATATATAGTTTCCTACGAAACTACCTATATTATCAAGATTTACACATTTACTACAGGTTTTTGTGCTTAATATTTTCTTAGTCTTTTTTTCCAATGTTTGTTTCTCTGGGTATCGTCTATATAGTTAGGTTATTTGCTTTTGTCCTCTTTTCTTAATTAGCTTTGCCAACAATTTATCTATTTTATTGGGCTTTACAAAGAACCAGCTCTTGGATTTATACATTTATTTTACTTTTTTATTTCTATTTTGCATTTCATTAATTTTGTTTTTTCTTAACTTATAAATTCCTTCCTCTTGTTTTTCTTATGGTTATTTTGTTTTTGTTGTTTCTATATCTTTATTTGTATGCTTAGTTAATTTTTGTCCATTCTTCTTTAATAATAAAAGCATTTGCAGTTTTTAATATTTCTGAGAGCAATTTCAGTCACATCTCATACACTTTGTTTGTGTTGTTGTTGTTATTATTGCTGTTATTAAATAGTCTATGACTAGAGTTTTGATTTATTCTTGGAGATAGAATTTGTTTAGGAGAAGATTTTCTTAGTTTCTCTCTTATTTAATATTTGTTTATCTTCTTGTAGTGATTTCAAATTTTATTGCACAGTGCTCAGAGATGTTGGCCTATGAAAACAGTTTCACTTTTTGGAATTCAGTTTTCTTGTCTAAAATAGGATCAATTTTTAAAAATATTCCACTGCCTTTGAAAATATTACTTTATATATCAAGTGCTATGGACTGAATTGTGTCTCCCCAAATTTATATGTTGAAGCTCCAACCTACAATATAATAGTGTTTGGAGATGGGGGCCTTTGGGAGATAATTAGATTTAGATGAGATCATGAGGGTGGGGCCCTCATGATGGGATTAGTGCCCTTCTAAGAAGAAACACCAGAGCGCTCATGCACGCTCTCTCACACACACTCTCTCTCTGTCACTTTCTCTCCCTCTCCAGGAACCTAATCAGAATCAGCCAGGACCTTGATCTCAGATTTCATAGCCTCCAGAACTGTGAGAAAATAAATTGCTGCTGTTTAAGCCACCTAGTATATGGTATTTTGTTATGGCAGCAATAGAAGATGGCAAGTGCCATAATCTTACCAACCTAATTACTTTCATCTTTGTGTATCCATTTCCAACTGTTGCTGATATATGTCCATACTGGGCTGTATAATTATTTATATGGTGAAGAGCACAGTTTTAATTGGAAGCTGGGAGTATGCCTAGGGCCAAGAAAGAAATGGACTTTGTTTTTCTGGTAATCCAAGAGTCTGGAAGAAATAGCTCAGCTTTGGAATAGGAAGGTCATGTATCAGTAATGGTTATTTAAAAATTTAATGACAGGACAAGACCACCCAGAATGAAAAAATGAAGGCTTGAAGGCAATTGCGTACCTCTTAAAACTAAATGCATCTGAGTGATGCATACCTGTGTACCTGAACTTATCTGGCCCTATGTAGTTTGTACACTGGGATTCTCTAGCACTGGAGGAAAATGAGTAATTTCCAGTGGCCTACTATATGTAGCATATAGTGCCAAACTGTGGAATACAATGTGATGGAAGGGCAAATACAAGAGAAGTATAGGAGGAAAAATGTCTGTTAATCTCAGGGCCCATCACAAAGCAGCTCAAGTTAATTATGACAATTATGAATTGTAGTTTTGTGTTTAAAAGTTTATCACAATGGCTCTGAGGACTTAGCTTAAGCTAATTCACATCTCTAACTAATTAACAACTAATAAATTCAACAAATACTTATGAAGTGCTTACTACATGCAGGACTCTGCTAGGCATTGGAGAAACAGAGTGGAATAAAACATGTTCTCTTTCTTCCAGAACTGGCAGTGGAGTAGGAACACAATTGCACTACAATGGGATCAAGTCTGGAAACAAATAATCATAATACAGTGTGATCAGGTTTGCAAAGAGTGTCTGAGGCCACACAGCTAGCTAGCTATAGGCACAATAAAGACTAGAATTCTGATTTCTTGAAGCTGAGCCCGCTGTTATTTCAACTACAACAATACTGCCTGTCACAAAATATTAAATATGAGCAAATAAAATTAAATGTAATTTCAAATTAAGAATCATCATAGATTTATTTGAAAATCACCAAACCTGGACGCAGCTGGATCAACACGTCTCCTGGTGTCACCTGGGTATTAATTTCATTTTCACTTGGTATTACATGCACAGATGGGTATTCTATTGAATCAACTGAGCAGCCCTTGCTTATCAAATTGGAAACACTATCACAACGTTCACTCCTTGATCCACCTGAAATGAAATCCTGTTTAAAAGAAGGAAAATCACTGACGTTTTAAGTGCATATCATCTCAATTATAACCAAAGAAAACCGCATAACAAATATTGCAAAGGAGCCATCTTCAGATATTGTACAAGTTATGCAACTCTTCAGAATAGCTGCATGTTTCCAATAAGAGTACTGGCAAATTTGTCTTAAATAAAGCTTTAATTTCTAAATCTTATTTAAAAAGAAGAAAATGAATATTAAAGAGAAGATTTAAATCAAGTACTTTAGGTATTATTAACTGATCACTGTAAAATTAATTCTTTCTAAATATTTTACTTTGGGAAGACTGCTCCAAAAGAAAATTAGCCAAAATAGACCATTCAGTGGTTCCAAATGTAAGCCTCAGTTCTCAAAGAACCCAACTGGTATGTTTATTATATACTATTATTTTTGGAATATGAGAGCAAGTCCTCAGAAATCACATGCCTAATTAGGTACTGAAAATTCATAAAAGAATGAATTGGAAATCTACATTCATTAGACTATAAAATCCTCCAACTTATAACACACAAACAGCCTGTAAGTAATTCAATAAACCAAAGAAGTTGCTCATAATGAGGCTGGGAGATGGAAGATCGCAGCTCAGATTCTCCTGATTTTGCAACTGAATCTAGAACTTTCATTACCATTCAGCATTGGTTACTTGATGGTTATCCAATAGCCATCCAATAAACTTGGAATAACAGAGCAAGCTTAAAATTTAATTTATTCTGACTGAGAAAAAATTGATATTTTTATTTTTGTGTAACTATTCAGGTTTTTTCCTATGAACAGGAAATATACTGAAAAGTATAGAAATATGTTTTATTATATATAATGTTGGCCTGAATTATTGGAGATATTTGCTTACACATTTGTTGGATATTTGCTCAGTGATCTTCCTGGCAGTGGCTATTTTGATCTGGCATTCAGTCATTCCTCCTTTAGTTCAGCTGATTCAGAGAATTGGGTTTCCAATCAATTAATCATTCAATCAAAGAAGGCTGATTGAATACTTACTCAGGGACAGTTATTTGTTAGGTGCTGAGGATAGAGAATGGAACAAGACAGATAGAGTCCTGGTCATCAAAGAGTCAACAGACCATCAGTGAATTCAGCCATTAAGCAAGTAAATGTAATTATCATGGGCATTAAATTTAGGGGAAGCACAGAATGTCATAGGATTATGGAGAAAGGAGATTATCAAGTTTAATATTAGTTGAAAAAGAGATCACTAATTATGAACAGAGACACCCTTGGCACTGGTGAGTAATTAGATGGGATGGTGCTGATAGGCAATATAAAAACATTCATACAGGATTTTAATTTAATTCTTCTCTCTATTTAGAATAAGGGTTGGAAAACTAGGGACAGTGGGACAACCCATGGCCTGTTTATGTATGGCTTGAATGCTAAAGCTTTTTCCTTTTTTTTTTCTGTGAGGGAGATTAGCCCTGAGCTAATATCCAATGCCAATCCTCCTCTTTTTGCTGAGGAAGATCGGCCCTGGGCTAATACCCATGCCCATCTTCCTCTACTTTATATGGGACGCTGCCACAGCATGGCTTGACAAGCGGTGCATCAGTGCGTGCCCCAGATCCCAACCTGTGAACCCTGGGCCGCCGAAGCAGAGCACGCGCACTCAACCGCTACGCCACAGGGCCAGTCCTTCTTTTTACATTTTTAAAATGCTATAAAATAACAAAAAAGAAGAATGTGCAATAGACAGTATATGGCCCACAAAACTTAAAAAATCTTACTATGTGACCCGTTATAGTATTGATCCTGAATTAGAGTGTGGAGCACATTTGTAGTATAAATATAATTAAAAGACAAAAGAGAATATGTCCTTCTCAATCAAGATTTCGAGGAATCATTTGGCAGATGACTTCATGGGAATAGAAAAATTCAGTTTGCTTTGCTATTGACCATACACCTAGATTTTAGCCTGAAGTTTAAGACGTTCAAAGCTTTAATTTTTTATATCCAAATTTATCCTGTCTATTGGTAAAACTTAGAGGTACTAAGTGCGAGATTTAGTATATAAACAACTTGGAGTTCCTCAGAGAAAGGTGGTAAATACTGCTATCGTATGTGTCACTTTCCTTCAGAAAGCCTTAGGCTAGATGCGGGCATTCCACCTGTCCTGGAGCCTGGGGACTATGAGGGTGCATGGGGCTTGGTACGTGTACGCTCACTCCTGCCTCACATGGCAGGCCACAGACCAAGGGCCACAGGCATTTTACAGATGTAAAAACTCGAAGACTTCAAGTCAGGAAAGGAAATAAAGTACAAATAACTCTGATTTTTCTTTTCAGCCAGGGATTTTGTTATTTTTATATACAGAATGGAAAAGAAGGGAGAGTGGTTAATCCACTGCAACTATACATCAAGCTATGCCACTTGACCTTTAAATGTCAAATCATTTCGCTGAAATAGACAAAATAGTCTCAATTATTTTGCAATGTCTGAATCAGCGTGGCTGTTTTTACTCCACTGTAAAAGCTAAATTAGAAAAACACTGCCAATTTGACAATTAGGTTTGAAAAGGGAAGAAAAGACCGTGGCATCACAATAAAGAATGGAATGCTGCCCCTACCCACTGTGGCCTACTTTCCACTTTGTATAAAAGAAAAGAATTTGAAACCACACGCTTTTAATTCTTAGTGTTTTGTGTCATTTTAATTTCTTCTAATTCTTATGTTTTACTTTTTCTTCAAGAAATACTCAAGCAAACTCATACTCCAACTGTCTGCATCTGAAACCTATTTGAGAACGAAAAGCCCAGGATGAAGTTACCTTGATTGGCTTTTCATCAGTTGTTACTTTCATTTAATGAAAAATCTGGGGATATAAATAAGAAAAGTTTTTTTCTCCTACTCATTTCTGAGTCTTCCTGACCTCCAAACATGGCAATTGGCACAGAAATGAAAGAATCCTATCATCTTCCTTTTGATAGTCAATGCTCTTCGTATCATATTTTAGTATAATTATGCTCCAAGTCTGCCCTTTTAACTTCTGGCTATGCAGTCACAACCTATACCTGACACATCAGGCAGGAGAGGAAAAGAAGTGTTCAAAACTTGCCAAGTCTTTCACATATCTTAAAAAGGAACATGAGGCATTAAACTAGGTAATATTGATAAGATTCTGTGTATTCTAAATATTTTCCAATTACTTTTACGTAGCACAGAGAGAAAGAGAAGGCAAAATATATAGAATGGCAGATTAACATGCTACACAAGATTCTAGGCAAACTGAGTATATTCTGGGTAAATTTTCCAGTGATCTTTCACTTTTGACCAGCTTTGAAAATTATACAAACCAGGCTTAATTTGTTACTGTTTATCTCTCCTAATCACAAACAGAGAAAAACTGCATCTTTCTTCCTTGTCCCTCCACCCTTACTGGTTGAGAAATAAAAGACATCTGTTGCCTGTGCCTAAATGGTGGGCGATCTTTCAAAATTAACCATTACATTCTTCCTCTCCATGATGTCAGGTCAGCCTGTAGGGAGTGGACAGCTCCTTCTGTTAATGATGTGGCTAGTGGCTGAGTCCTAACACTGGTTGCTTCCCCTGAGTTTGTGTTTGTAACACAGGCAATTCTCTTCGTTTGCTAAGCCTGAGTGAATTGCTCTAGAGTCTCACAGAAGTTCTTATGGTAACAACTCTGATTTCTTAAGCGATGCCTGTATGCCAAATGCTTCCCACATACTGTTTCATTTAATTTTGACAACAGTGTGTCAAGGGTACAGTTATTATTTCCATTTTAGAGCTGGGGAAAACTGAGGTTCAGAGTGAGTAGGTTAACATGTCCAAGTTTGTACAGTTAGAAACTGATGGGACTGGGATTTGAATCCAAGTTGATCTCATTTCAGAGCCTGCTTTTTCAACACATAAATTAGACCAGCCTGCACTACATAGAAGTATATTTTGGGACATGAACAACTGAGTCATTTCTAAATGTTTTCTGAGATCCTCTTCTGAGGATCTGACCAACAGCAGACACAGGTTTGCCTTCTCTGCTCTGACAGCCACGCCACCTTTCCCACTTGGCTTACCTTCCTCCATTTGACCACCCATTCCTCTGAATACTCAAAATCCCTCCTTCCGTGGCAGGACTGACATTACTACCCATAACTGTGACTCTCCAGATTTTAAGTGCTAGCAGAGGTGTGAGATGGAGAAAGGGTCTCTCTGGAACCTGACATTCTATATGGCTGGCATGTTGCATTTAGCTGACAACTGGTTTTCTGAACCACCTTTTGAAAATTCATCCTAACTACACTCACTAAAGTTCTCAGGCAGTTGATGTCAAGTTGGCACAAACTTCACAACTCTAAGTATCTTTCTTAGTGGTGCAGGAAAAATCTAAAAGGAAGTATTGAGTTAGGGTCAAGAAATATGAAGCCATGAAACATTCTTGACAGAGAATAACCTGGAAGTAAACTCCAAACTCAAGGTTATAGAGATGAAGAAAGGGAGACTCAGAGAATAGAGTGAATTCTGTCTGGTCACTTGGCTCATAGGAAGTGATAGGATTGGTCCCAGAAACTCTGGAATTGTCCTCTCTGTCTCCATGGGTTCTGGTGAAGCAATGCCTAGTTTTGAATGACATCTGATTTTATCACTGGTAAAGCTCAGAGTATACCCAGGAAGCCTCCAGTCTGTCAATAGGAGGGATGCTTAATTTTCAGACATGGCTACTATTTCATGAACCCCTCTCCTGCCTCCTTCCTGACTTGCTTCATAGAAAAAAGTAATATCCACCATCCTTTGCTACTTTTCACCTTTCTTTTTCCCCCTGGGGATGCATAAGGGCAAGCAGTAACAGGAGAGGTTGGAAAGATGATGGTAGGTGCAGTTTTTGAGTTAAATCAGAGGAGGCAAAAGCTAGAGATTTCTCTTCATGTCAAGCAAAAGACTATTAAAGATCTATTTGTTCCACTTCCCAGGAGCTACATAAATAAATGTAAAATTACCTAGGCAATTTCATAAAATAAACCCCAAGTTAGCAAAGAGCCTCTTCATTGCAATTTATTATATAAGGTAGTTCTGATTGAAAATTACCAACAAAAGAAAAAAACACAAAACAACATTAGAGCCAAGAAAGAAGAAATGCATAATTATTTCACTAAAAAGTTGTTATTGGGATATGTTTCTCTTAGAATATAAAAACACCAATTTTGAACAATAAACATTTTCTGAATTATTTTCCATTCCACAGAATTTAAATGTATACAGTATTGCATGAACAGGGTCACATGTCAAAAGAAAACCATCCCATTTTCCATAAGTAACCAACAAATTGATATACAATGTTATGAAATGGAGTAAATCACTTATCTCCAGTATTTCAAATAAAAACAAATTAAACAGACCAATAAATTAGCTTGCTTTTCGTTAATAAGCAAGTACAAGACAACTATCCAACTTGGATATATAACCCAATGCCCCAAGCTGCAGCAAGAATTTCACACGAAGCCTACTGACCTATCAAAAGTGACTGTGTTTGCCAATTTTCTCTATAGAACAGATGGAAAACATAAAATGGTTTGCACTTCATTTCAAAATTACCATAATTTTCCTAATAAAAAGGTTATACTTTATTTTATATTCAGCCAGATATGCTGTTTCCAAACATAAAACCAAATAAAATTTTCCTGATGTTCAGCAGTATCTTTGTTTTTCCTGATGTACCCTCAAGGCATAGAATATTAGGGCAATGAAATCAAGCTAGAGAGAAGGTCAACTGTGAGGAAAAGAGACAAGAGCAAAAAAAGAAAGAATGAACGAACAAAAAGGCATACCTCTTGAGCACACCATCCACATTCCGGACCCAGTGCAAGGCACTTGGTGCAGGACGCTGCATTCGAAGATGTACATCTATTGTCTTCTGTAATGGAAGAGAAAACGAGGTGTTATGGTTCACTCTCATGTTAGGAAATACATACAATTCTAGATGAAAATGTATTTTTAAAACTGAAATAAGCTGACCAATAGTTTTAAGTACAGGACATCAAAATATATATAATTTCACTGGGAAGAGTTAAACCCACTCACTGCATTTCCTGGAGAGTTATTATTTGGTTTTATAAGGTTGGGGAAAAGGAGAGTGATAAAAATGTGATTTTAGTTAGGTTTTGGGGTTTGGCTTGAATTCTGCTGCAATAGTAGAGGATCTTTCAAATTTTTTAGCGTGCTAAAGTTTCACTGCATTTCATATTATCTGAATCAGTGAGGCATTTTTGGATCTAGAATTTTTCCTGTAAAAATAATCACATACAGACCCAATCTCAACATGTAAATCCATGTGGAGTCATAGTGAATGAAGTTTCTGAGAAATAATCTTAATGGATACAGAGTAATTAACTTGGGAATTCTGATTGTGTTAATATTGATTATTTTGGCTTGAAGGATATCAGAACCAGATATAATGGCATGATTTAGTATTTTAGAAATAAAGTGGTTAAAATGAATGAGTTGTTTTAGTTAACCCAGTTTAATTTCTCTGACTGGATCACTTGAAGATCATGACCAATTCACTTTTCCGTAGATACCCACACTTGGCTGTGATATTTTAATAACATAGTTGTGCCTGGAAACTATTTACCTTTATCCCTCCAGCCCCTAACTACTTATATCATTAAAAGGAGCCTCATCATTATAGACTTAAACACATAAAATATAATAAACAATGAGTCATAAATAATTTCATCATGAGTTTTTAGTGGAACAATCACATGCTTCCTACAATCCATCCTTTACTATGAAATGTCCCAAGGACACTGGAAATCACAGCATTCTATCCAGCTCACTCACAGGCACACAGTAAATAATATCCTGGCTGTAAGTAGCTCACAGTTCAGGTGAGCAGAGAACTATATAAGCAAACAACAAAATAATGTGATAAGCCCAACAAGAGAGATATCACCAAGGCACCATGGGAACATAGTGAGGGGCTTCCCGCTCTGCTTTAGAGGAAAGAGCAGGGGTGGGGGAATAGGGCATGTTTAAGGATGGCTCTCCAGAGGCAGTGATATCTAGTATGTCTCTTTGCCATCTCATTTTATTTCTTCTAATCTGTGTTTTATCTCTTTAAAAAAATGTCACAGGCATGAAAGAAGACTATATGTGTGTGCACAATAACACTGGCCATGGTCATTTGAAAGGCGATGGAGCCCACAAAATCTCTTGCTGTCCCCATCCAATTGCTTTCTTTTTTTCTTCTCTCTTGACTTGCTCCAACATTCTAGAATACAGGGTAAACAGCTCTAACCTGGAGGTGGCATGAGATGGGCATTGGCAGTGGGAACAGAGAGAAGGAAACTACAGGGGAGTAAACATCACAGAGAGATGCTAACTGGGGTGGTAGTGAGCACTCTTCCCTGTGTTTCCCCAGACCCATGCATTAAGCTGAAAGCATCCTTCCCTAACACCTCTGCTGTTCTATCTTCTGTGTCTCCTTGCACCCTTTGTCCGTGGCTTTATATCAACTTTTAGAATACATTATTCAAAACTTCTTCACTGATCTAGATGCACTGGGCTAGAATTTTCTTCACTGGCCAAGAATACCAAGGACTAAAAATAACTAATGCTTTGGGCTCCTTTTACTACCAGTGTAGCCACCTAACTATAAAGACTCCATAGCCTAAAATCCTTCCATCTGGCTTAGCCTACAAAACTGTAAAACCTGCTTATTCCTAAAGTATTCAGAAGAGGGAGTGACCTTTTTAGTTTTATTCCAGAATGAAAACCAATTTAGGTCTAGAATTCAAGCATATTTGCAGACTTAACTTGACCTTTACCAACTCTTAAACTTGACCCAACTGGAACATGGAATTAAGTCTATTTCAGATCAGACTTGACCAAGCCTTTTACTGACTAGGTAGGACTTTTGCTCTGGCAGTTAAGATTGCAGTTTCCTGGAAGGGAAGCTGCAGATTCTATGATTCTGGTCTTTGTTTCTAATGGTTGTCTGACTCTGTCCTAAGTTAACCCAGATTCAAGTTCAAATCAGGCTCCTACTTCCATAGCACATGTGGTAAATACTGAATTTACAAGCAAAAATCCATTTTCTTTGTATTCTGCTTTCTGATTGTTTTCTTTAAAATGTTGTCGTGCCAACCTCTATTCTCAAACTTCAGATATCTAAGGATGATGACGGATAGGGATAGAGACTTCGCTTCTGTCAATACGTCCCAGGTTCCAGAGCTGACATTTCTCAGATTCTTTAACTACAAGAAAAATGATCCCATAAATGGATATGGAGGAGGTAGGCTTTACGGTTCTGCAGAACTGGAGGAAGGCCATAAATTGAACTCCATGGGAATGGTGTCAAAAGTTATTGCTGGAGAGTGTCATGGTTATACTTTACAGAAGACAAGCCAGATACACTTGGTAAGCATAATTTTAAGGATTTTCTTTTTAATTTTAAAATATGCAACTAAGTAAATACCTAACATAAAAATATTACACCAATTACAGCAATTCTTCACACTGAATAGACATGCTACTGTGGGGGCTATTAGTCACTACATGTTAGGAATCTGTGAGTGTGTGTGTCTCTCTCTCTCTCTCTCTCTCTCTCTCTCAGAGCACACACACACACACCTTCTTTGTGAATAGAAATATTCTTTACACTGTGCACACATCAATGTATGAATGCAGTTTACAGACACTGGCAGTTTGTCATCAGCCTCCGGGTCTACTCAGTTCATTCCCATCCCTGATGCAACACCACAGGAAGGCTACTTTCCAGCAGTGGTTCCCTAGCAGCCCTCAGTGCTGACACCTCATTCAAGGGTGTGCCTGAGTGGATCTTCTTCCCTCTCAAGGACAGTGGTATCTCTTGTCCAGCTATTTGTCCAGTGATGTGCCTTAAGCATCTTGTTCTTTATGTTCTAGCACTGTGTTTGTATTAAGGATAATTTTTTATGGATCCTAATGGAAATTCTTAGGCCAGTGGGAGCAGAATGATAATATTTTAAAGCACATATCCTTGGAACCCTCTTTTGTGCCCATTTGTTTTAGACCTAAGTGTCTCTCAAACCTCATGTCATTGAAAAATGTGCTGCCGTGACAGAAATCAGTAAAGGACTTAATATGATATGTCAGTAAGTGTGTACATTCTGAATAATTCTATTCCTTGATCTATAAGCATGGGCTGAGAGTCTTACTTTTTCTCATCATGTTACAACTGGAGGTAACAAATGTGATGAGGTAGCATTGCTAAGTGGTTACTGGGAACAAAGTTACAAATTTCCATACCACTGCTACTTAGCAGCTACGTGCCCTTAGGCTAGTTACCTAAATTCTCTGAGGCTCCATTTCCTCCGCTGTAACACAGGGCTAACTATACCTATATCAAAATACTGATACGGTATGGAACGAGCTAGTAGAAGCATGCCAAGCATAGTGCTTAGGGTATAGTAGGCTCTCAGTAAAGGGACTATTATAATGTTATTATAATTAATATTATAATAAGTTATGTGTGTATATATACACAGATGTATATATGTATACATACGTGTGTGTATCTAGTTCTAGCTTCAAAAAAAAAAGGAAGGCATTATGTGTCTTTAAACTTGTTATAAATGTAATTGGTTGTCTTTAAAATGAAAGTCCCTTGGGTTATAAAGACAAAGTTTTAAAAATATAGCTAATCTATAAAAATAATTATTAAATTAAAAGTTACTGCATTTATTTTAGTTATTTAAAAATGATTCTTAAAAGCCAATTTAGTCAATTATATATACTTCAGTCCAATCTATTACAAATACAATTTTGGCATGACTATAATTGGATTTCTGAAAATCTCTTAGAATACGTTCATTTTGTTCACATTTGCAAAGTGAACATTGACTTAATCTGAATAATTTTTGAATTATTTCCCAGAATTAAATGTTTATGACGCATGTGAAATGACCTCTATAACCCTGTCATGAAGTATAATAAATATCCATCATCAACAGGATAGAGAACACAAAAATCAGGAAACTACATATTCATGACACTCGCTTAGGTATTCTTTGTTTTAGATGATGCATTTATTCATATTATTTTGAGAATGTTTAATCTATAGAAGTGAAAGGAGGAAGAAAATGAACAAAAGAAAAAAAAAAAAACTAGAAAAGACAACAGAAGGTTCAAAGTTTAGATTGGGATCTTTCCATAAGTCAAGTGATCGGATCAAGTGAAAGTTTTAGCAAACATTTCTAATGTTCTTCTGCTCTAAAGTCTATACCACAAAATTTGAGCAAAGTTTAAAGGATGTCCATGGTTATCTGGAAGAAGGAACAACTAAAACTGATAAAGATTGTAGTCCTTGATATTCAGAATCCATCATTCTAGATTCTCCTGTTACTCCTAAACAAAATGATTTGTGAAAAATGCAGAAATGCATTTTTTTTTCCAGGCAGTATCCTTTTCCTAATTGCATTTACTATACAAATTAAATTAAACTTAGATAATTACATAAAGCTACTTCCTTTAAAAAAAACAACAAAGTAAACACTGTTATAATGAGTACATATTCTTCTTTGATAACAGTCAAAACCAGGCAAATTGAGCACACACAGAATAAAGTTTGGAGTATAACTTCAGGATTTCCTTGTTCTAGATGTATATCATGGTCATGTAAATGTTACAGATATCTTCAAATATATTACCTGATTATTGAAAGCTCTCTTCTAGAAGGAAATTTAATATATGCTATCATTTGCTATAAAAATCAAAACAAAGAAATAGATTAGTGTTCTAATCAGTTGCCATTTCCTAGTTATTCCAAGTTCTGATTGAGGAAGTACTTCCTAAAGGCCCCTACAAAAATATGGGGAGGGAAGAGGTGGTTAGGGCTACTTTGAAAATCAGGCACAGGAAACAAAATCAAATTTA